ACATTTACTCAATGCCTGAGCAATTCTTCTTTCCTTAAAAATCAGTCTCTGGGAGGCCTAGGTGGGAGGATCACTTGAGGCCAGGAGTTGGAGACCAGCTTGGGCAACATAGCAAGATCCAGTCTCTATTCAAACAAACAAACAAAAATCAATCTCTAGTAACAGAATAATTTGTACATAAATAAGTGGTGCTCAAATAGTTTTTTAAGAGATTGAAAGCCCCCGTTTGTCTCCTCTACAAAAGGGGCTACACTTCCTCTCTACCCTCATTCCCTGCCTATTTGACTGAGCACAAATTATGCCACAGTGAGCCACACACTTACTGTTCCTTGGCACTTCAATCTGTTGCCTCATCTTTTTCTCAAGAGCCTTGCAAAATTGGTGAACTTATTCCCATTTTACAGATGGGATTTGATATTAACTCTGAGGCTCAGAGAGGCCACAGAGCTGATATCAAGCTGGCTCCTTCCTAAGGGGGAGCCTTTAAGGGGTCTTCTCTTCCCTGCCCCTGCCTGGATATGTGCTGCTTGACCACAGGCATCTGGGGAGGGTGAGTACTGCATCCAGCATGTTATCAGCAGTCCAGCTTGCACAGGGTCTTATAGGCAAAGGTTGCAACTTAATCCCATTGCCCTCTCACCACCACCTCCAGCCCTCAGCTCCCACTTGGGGCCTCCCACTCAGAGGCTGCTCCGGAGCTCCTGGGCCCCATGACACCATCCCCCTGTGCCCTCAGCTGCAGAAGAACATGCAAATAGCCAACCATACTCTGAAGTACGGCACCCAGGCCAGGAGGTTTGATGTGAACCACTTCCAGAACACCACGATCAAGCGGATCATAAAGAAGGTTCAGGACCTAGAACGGGCAGCGCTGCCTGCCCAGGAGCTGGAGGAGGTGTGTGGCTCGCAAGGAACGGGGAGAGGGGAATCCTGGGGCAGTGAGCCCAACACAGGGTCTGGCCTGGCCTTCACGCTGCTTCCTCTTCCTCGTTATATCAAGTCATGGCATCTGCCATGTGATGTGCACCTCAGAATTGCCAAGAAGGCAGCGCTCCCCAGCTCCCCGGCTCCCCACCCGCCAGCCCATGGGGCCTGGGGGCAGTGCAGGCCACAGAGAGACCAGGCACAAAGGAGTACAGCTCAATGCCTCTCTCCTTCCTCCCGCAGTACAACAAGATCCTGTTGGACATGGAAACCACCTACAGCGTGGCCACTGTGTGCCACACGAATGGCAGCTGCCTGCAGCTCGAGCCAGGTGAGGGCTCACGTGCAGGCTGAGTGAGAGGCTAGGGCTGGGGCTGGCATGGGGCCCGGGGGTGCTGGGTGAGAGCACAGAGTTGGGCTCCCCTCGCTCTTGGAGTCAGCGTGCCCAGGAAATGCCCTTCCTTGTTTTCCACGAGGGGGCTTCTTTGCCCCACTGAGAACCGACACCTACTTCATACCACACCCCAATCTGCTGCCCCTCCCTCAGAACCGCCCTCTACTTAAGGGTATCCGATCTCTCCGGTCCTCTCTGCATGCCACCCCTCAGAGCAGCTGGATCTCAAAGTTGTATTTCATGGGCTTGGACTCCAAATTAGGGGAACTCGGGGACTCTAGCTCCCCCCGGCCTCCTTTCGTGATCCTGCCCTTGACTTCCTCACTTTCTCTGTCTTTCCTGAGCCCCTCTCCCAGCATGTGACTGATAAGGAAACTGAGTCACACAGCTGCTGAAAGCACCAGACTAGAACCTGAGTCTCTGATTCCTCTCACTTCCCTCCCCGACCCCGCCACTTCCTGCTGGATAGGAGTAGACAGCTCTTGGCTGTCCTCTCTGCTCTCCCCACCGGGTGGTCCTTCTTACCCCAGCCCCTTTGAAAGAGCTCACCCCCGACACAAGGACCCGCACACAGAAACCTCCCAGCTCCCTCTCAACCCACCCTTTCCAGGGCTGGAGAACTTAAGGCGTAAACATTCTTCCATGAAGAATCTCCACCCAGAAATGGGTCTTTCTGGCCCCCAGCCCAGCTCCCACATTAGAACAATGACAAATAGAAGGGGAAATGGAAAATAAACAGGAGAAAAAGTTTTCCCAGGACAGGGTTTGGCCTACAAGTTGTGGATGTGGGTACGCGTGCCAAGTCGGGTGGAGGCTGGCCGGGTGCGGTGGCTCATGCCTGTAATCCCAGCACTTTGGGAGGCCAAGGAGAATGGATCACTCGAGGCCAGGAGTTTGAGACCAGCCTGGCCAACATGGTGAAACCCCATCTCTACTAAAAATACACAAGTTAGCTGGGTGTGGTGGCAGATGCTTGTAGTCCCAGCTACTTGGGAGGTTGAGGCATGAGAATCGCTTGAGCCCAGCCTGGGCAACATAGCAAGACACTGTCTCTACAAATAAAATACAAATAATTAGTTGGATGTGGTGGTGCACGCCTGTAGTCCTAGCTACTAGGGAGGCTGAGATGGAAGGATTGCTTGAGCCTGGAAGGTCAAGGCTGCAGTGAGCCATGATGGCACCACTGCACTCTAGCCTGGGCGACAGAGTGAGACCCTGTCTCAAAAAAAAAAAAAAAAGAAAGAAAGAAAGGAGAGAGGCTCAAGCACGTCCCTCACAGGACTGCTGAGGCCCTGCAGGTGTCTGCAGCATGTGGCCCTAAGCAGGGGACCCTGTAAGCCAGGGCTGGAGAGCCACTCCCATCCTTTCTCCCATTTCTCTAGACCTGCTGCCTGTACAGTCACTTTTATGTGGTCTTGCCAATTTTATTCCAGTTCTGAAATTCTCTGAGCTCCCCTTACAAGCAGAGGTGAGCTAAGGGCTGGAGCTCAAGCCATTCAACCCCCTACCAGATCTGACGAATGTGATGGCCACGTCCCGGAAATATGAAGAACTGTTGTGGGCATGGGAGGGCTGGCGAGACAAGGCTGGGAGAGCCATCCTCCAGTTTTACCCAAAATACGTGGAACTGATCAACCAGGCTGCCCGGCTCAATGGTGAGTCCCTGCTGCCAACACCACTGGCGCTCGGGTCCCCTCAGGTTCTTCAAAGAGGTGCTGTGAGACCCCAAGCCTGGGTGAAGGTAGGTCCCTGGAGGAGGCAGGTAATGAGGTGTTGGGAGAGCCTGGCTGTGTCCCCTCTGTAGGCTATGTAGATGCCGGGGACTCGTGGAGGTCTATGTACGAGACACCATCCCTGGAGCAAGACCTGGAGCGCCTCTTCCAGGAGCTGCAGCCACTGTACCTGAACCTGCATGCCTATGTGCGCCGGGCCCTGCACCGCCACTACGGGGCCCAGCACATCAATCTGGAGGGGCCCATCCCTGCTCACCTGCTGGGTAAGGGCACATGTCGGGCCTTGAGGAGGGTAAAGATGGACCACAGTGTGAGTGAGGGCTGGGACAGGGCTGGCTAGAGGGTAGGGAGCAGGCTGGGGAGTGAGAGACTCCAGCCCTGGGGGGAAGGTTGCCCAGGCTGGAGAGGGGTGGGCACTGGGAGTAGGGAGCCCCCCGCTTGCATCTGGTTCCACATTCACTGCAGATCTATGTTGGGCAAGTCACTATAGATGGGGGGAGAAGTTAATAATCTTGTCCAGGAGACCATGGCACCTATCACAACAGTGTGTGATCTTGGAGGGTGAGGAAGGGGCTGTGAGCGGGAGTTGGGGAGGCTTTGCCAAGAGGTGGCCTATGAGCAGGGCCTTGGAAGATGACAGGGTTTGACAGGTGGGAAGTGGGGGATGAGAGGAGAGGCTCAATGTTCAGGCCAAGGGAACTGGAACAAAGAAGAACCTGAGAATGTAAATCCACTTCAACCCTGGACCCTCCTTTGCCAAGGGCTGCAATCTCAGATGCCCTGAATGTGTGAAGTAGGCGGTGAGGACAGTAAAGGATGGTAGGCAGTAAGGCAAAGCAGAGGCTACTGGTTCTCTGTCCCTGATGGGCTGTGAGAAACACTTTCCTGGAGCAGAGAGACCAGACAGGCCCTCAGACCATTTAGAAACCATAAGGGAGGCCCCAGAGTGTGGCCTGGCTGCGGGTCTAGCTCCCACACAGGCTGGGAGTCCGGCCCTCTTCAGCCCCTCTCTGGTGAGACCAGAGAACATCTGGTGATGTCACAGTGGACATCAGTTCACCAACTGGGAAACGCAGGCCCCAGGAAGAAAAGCAACATGCCCAGGGTGGTCTGGGAGCTGGGGCAGAGCTGGCCTTAGAACTCAGCCCCTGACAATTGGGAAAAGGGGAAAGGGGAGCAACCCAACACTGATGCACTCTCTCTCTCTCTGGCTCTCTCCCTCTCCTCTCTCATGTTCCCTCCATCACTCGTCACTCTAAGCCACTCTCACTGGTTTGCACTTTAGACTTCACCTGATGTCAGCTGAACCTTCACCTCCCTTGGTTAGGAAAGAGCCTTGAGTCCAAATCTGTTTCTGAGCCTTCCACTCATCCTAAGTGTCTTCCTTTTCCTCCATCTTGGAGAACTAGGCTCTTTTCTTAGCCTAAACTCAGAGGCATCGGCCTCTCCTGAAGGAGATGGCTGATTCCTGCCAGAGTTGCTGAGCTGCAGACGCCGACCTCAGGTGGTGCAGAGGGGACATGGCAGAGTGGCTGGTGAAGAGAGCAGCCTGCCCGCCATTTAATCCCAGCCCTGCCCCTTAGGAGCCGTGGGCCCCTGCTGGGGGTCACTTAACTCTCCAGCCTGTTTCCTTTACTATCCAATGGGAATTGTGCCCGTACCTGGGTGCAGACAGGATTGAAAGTGAATTCACACAATGTTCTTGGCACAGAGCCAATAAGAGGTGGCCACCGGGGTATAGGTGTTCTGGGGACCTGTAATGTCCTCACAGGTCAGCAGTTGCTAGTCACATTGGTCTCCACTGCTCATGGACAGTGAAGACCACCTGGATTCCCTGATAACCAGCAAGGTCCCCACCTAGAGCAGGGCAGTAATGACCTACTGGGCTGGATGTGCACACTGAAGGTGGTGTATGTCAGGTGCCTCGAAACTTGCAAACAGTAGGTGCTCAAGAAATGCCACTATAATTAGCAGGACTGGGATCGGGAGCCCTGTTCCTGCAGGAGGGCATTGAGCCTAAGAAGTAACATTTGTCTTTCCTCTGTCTGCCATCCCCTCACTCCTCTCCAGGGAACATGTGGGCGCAAACCTGGTCCAACATCTATGACTTGGTGGTGCCCTTCCCTTCAGCCCCCTCGATGGACCCCACGGAGGCCATGCTAAAGCAGGTCTGCACTGGCCCAGGGGCAGGGAGGCCCCGCTGAGACGGGAGGGGCCCTCTGATTCAGGAGTTTCCCCCAGTTTGGCCCTCCCCTGGGTCCCCCACAGCAGCATGCAGTCTGTCCCCAGAACCTCCAGTTTAGGCAGAACTCCCTCTGCTTGCAGGGCTGGACGCCCCGGAGGATGTTTAAGGAGGCTGATGATTTCTTCACCTCCCTGGGGCTTCTGCCCGTGCCTCCTGAGTTCTGGAACAAGTCGATGCTGGAGAAGCCAACTGACGGGCGAGAGGTGGTCTGCCACGCCTCGGCCTGGGACTTCTACAACGGCAAGGACTTCCGGTACATCCAGCTAGAGCTGAGGCTTCGTTCCTGAGCCCCACGGGCAAGGGAAATAAGCCAAGCAAAGGCTCCACTACTGTCCCCCAGCTGGAGCCAGCAGGGCAGGATGGGGACAGGGCCAGAGTTTGGGACTGAGGGTCCAGAGTGGCGTTGGCTTCTGGCAGGAAAACCCCATCCACCTGATGGGCTTCTGAAGCACGCAACAGCTCTGTCAGCCTGGCCACTGGGAAGTGCTCAAGGTCCCAGTTCTGGGTTTGAGCGCGGTGGGCTGCCCCGCCTCCCTCCTTTGGAGCTCCTCCCCTGCATAGAGCTGGCCTCTCCCTGGAGGCACGTGCTGTGACACACGAGGATGTTGGGGGCTCTGCACAGATCTACTCTCACCCCTGACAGGCTCAGAAGCTGCCTTCCTTGGAGGATGGCGTTTTAGTTACCTATTGCTGTGCAACCAAGCACCCCAGAGCTTAGCCGTATGAAACAATCAGTTGATTATGCTTATGATTTTATGGGCCAGGAATTCAGGCAGTACACAGTGGAAATGGCCTTTCTCTACAACGCCCCCTCGGTTGGGGGCAGCTCTCTTGACCAGCATGGCTCCATGTGGGGCCATCCGTCCAGGGCCTCAGTTCTGGCTGTCAGTTGAGGTCCTCGGTTTTTCCCATGTGGCAGATATTGGGGCACATGTTCCCACTGGCCTCTTGGCTCACATGTTGGGTGCTTAGGGTGGGAGGACTGGAACAGCTGGAGGTGGGTCAGGCATCTCTTCAGGCTAGCTTGGGCGCCCTCCCAGCGTGGCATCTGAGGTGGGCAGATTTATTACCTGGCAGCCAGCATCCCCGACAGTGACCACTGACGCAGCCAGTTCTCAAGGCTAGGTTCAAAACTGGCCCAGAGTCACTTCTGCCATGTTTTATTGGCTAGAGCAAGTCACAAGTTCACCCAGATTCAGGGGAAGAGAAAAAAGTCCCTCCCTCTTGGGAGAAGTGGCAAAGACAATTGGTCACAGCTGAAGTGTCTCTTACAAGGAGAGCAGACACGGGGAGCCTGAAACCAAACCTGATGGGGTTCCCTGGGCTGTGCAGGCCCTTCCAGGGATGAGGACTGCAGCCGCAGGGCTGAGAGGAGACAGGATCTGGGGGATGAGAGCCCTTGTGGGGTCTTTTATGGGGAGTCAGAGGAGAAGCTGGATAGACCCCAGCCTCGTTGTGGCCGGGATGCTGGGCAACTCTTCCTTCCCCCTCCCCAGTTGAGAATGACAGAAAAACAGGATTCACCTGAGCTGAAAGGCTTCCAGTTAGATCCAAGAGAGAATTTCCCGCAGTTTGAATTGGTTTGCAAAACAAGGAAGGGCCGGGTGCGGTAGCTCACGCCTATAATCTCAGCACTTTGGGAAGCTGAGGCAGTCTGCTTGAACTCAGGAGTTCGAGACCATCCTGGGCAACGTAGTGAGACCCCCATTTCATAAAAAATTAATAAGTAAATGAGAACAAGGAAGGATTGACGAGAGACGGTGGAACCTTCTGGTTTGGGCAGCTCTGCAGCTGCCATTCATCCTGGCCATAAGAATTCTTGGGGTGAATAAGTTTGTCGCTGTTGGCCGCATGAGATGCAAAATTGCCCACTCTCACCCCTGATGGAAACAGTTGTTTCCTTCAGGGAGCCTCCGTCTGGGGAGATAAAGCATGTGTACATGGGAACCCACTGGCTACACATTCTAGAAAGTACCCAGTGTCCCAGTGCCTCTACAGCAAGCGCTTCGTACAGTCAGAAAGCAATAGGTGGTGGGGGCTGGAGTCATTCAGGAAAATGAGAGGCAGAGGAATGGCCTGAACGACCTGACGGTAGGGGCTTCTGCCCCCAGTTTCCCTCTTTCTCAGGTCACTCAGTGGTTCCCCTTTCCCTCCCTCCCACAGTGCTGTGTCCCCTGCATGCTGCAGTGCTGGGGTCTGCGCTGGGTGTAGCAAGGCCCGCTATTATCTTATGCCCAGGGCTTCTCACTGTCCTCTCCCAACACCCTCTTCCCCCATTCCACTGTTTCTAGGATCAAGCAGTGCACCACCGTGAACTTGGAGGACCTGGTGGTGGCCCACCACGAAATGGGCCACATCCAGTATTTCATGCAGTACAAAGACTTGCCTGTGGCCTTGAGGGAGGGTGCCAACCCCGGCTTCCATGAGGCCATTGGGGACGTGCTAGCCCTCTCAGTGTCTACGCCCAAGCACCTGCACAGTCTGAACCTGCTGAGCAGTGAGGGTGGCAGCCATGGTGAGAGAGAAGCGGGAGGCTCTGGTGGGCTGAGGACCAAGAAGGGGTGGTGAGCTTGGGAGGTGGGAAAGGGGCACTTAGTGGCCCATGGGCAGAGGTGTGGGGCAGAGCAATGGGGAGGAAGGGAGCCATCCAGACCATCCCAGGAGGCAGGTCGCAGGGCCTGAAAAGATACAGCACCCCCACCCCTCCACCATCACAGGCACACCAAGGCCAAGCCGCTAGGACCCCGGGTCTGACAGCTGGCCTCCCTTCCCTTGCAGAGCACGATATCAACTTTCTGATGAAGATGGCGCTTGACAAGATCGCCTTTATCCCCTTCAGCTATCTCGTTGATCAGTGGCGCTGGAGGGTGTTTGATGGAAGCATCACCAAGGAGAACTATAACCAGGAGTGGTGGAGCCTCAGGTTCTGGAACACTCCCACAGGATGTGGGCTGGGGGATCTCTGCGGGTGTCTGGATGGGCCAGGGTAGGGGAGAGTGTGTGTGTGTGTGTGTGTGTGTGTGTGTATGATTGTGTCTGTGCATATGATGTATGTGTGTGTAAGTGATGGGGAAAACGGGGTGATTGTGCACAGAGGCCCAGCACGCAGGAGAATGGGGTGCCCAGTGTAGCCCCAAGTGCAGGGACCCTCCTTCAAGTCAAAACTGCCACCCCTAGCCTGGTTCTCCCCAAACTCACCTTCCAACATATATTCCCACTCGACAGGCTGAAGTACCAGGGCCTCTGCCCCCCGGTGCCCAGGACTCAAGGTGACTTTGACCCAGGGGCCAAGTTCCACGTTCCTTCTAGCGTGCCTTACATCAGGTAACGAGAAAGGCAGGAGGGCACGTTGTGAGGGCAGTACCCACAGCTTTGTGTTTAAACTGCGGCCGCTGCCCGGTCCACAAGCTCTGCCAGTCAGGGCAGACCTGGGGGAGCTGGCCGCACAGTGCAGGTGCCTGGACCCACTCACCCACTGCCAAGGCTGATGGTTGTTTTCTTGAACATTGTTTTGGTGAGAGTCTGTACCATCCAAACAGTTGAACACAGAAACGCAAACTAATAATTGGCTAATGGTTACCAGACCTTGGTTAAGTAGTTAACATTAACCATGACTCATGGCTGGATCATGAGCTCAGCACTGTTTTGTTTTGTTTTGCTTTTAAAACAAGATTGTGATTCTTTTACTTTCATTGAACATTGTCTTTGATACAATTGGAATTGTACCTGGAAGCCCTTCTAGACACTAAAATGCAGAGTTGGAGACCCGGTTAAGTTGGGAGTCAGGGTTAATGGGGCAAGTTACAGTCACAGGCTGGGGTCAGAGAGAACTGGGTCCAAACCCCATCTCCATTACTTTGTTTCCTTGAGAAAATTCCTCAATTTCTGTGAGCTTCCGTTTCTCACCTGTGAACCCCATTTCACAGGATGTACGATGGCTAACTTCTTAGCATTCTGTCTCATACACAGCCTCCTCAGGTAGTGGTGGCCAGGACCCCACTATTAGTCACTCCCCAGTGGAATGTATCTGCACACTAGGTCTGCAGGTCACGTGGCCACAGATGAGTGTGCCTAGTGCGGCTCCTCTCCTTTTGTGTGCCCCAGGAGAGCACTTGCTGAGGGCTAGCAAGGCTGTTTGTGATCTGGGGCCTCCCTGGGAGGCTGGGGGCTAGAGAGACCTCAGGCTGGAGTTCCAGGTCCCCCCGGGCTACAGGTAGCCCAGGCCACCCAGGAGTCAAGGTACAGAAGGCAGTGAAGGCCACCCCTGGAGGGCTGTGGCTGCCTCTGGTCCTGGCCTCCCGTGGTCCCTGGAAGCCCAGCGAGGGCAGGGCCCATGCCCACCTTGCCTCCTGGCACCTGGGATGATGCCAGCACATCATCAAGTGCTAATAACTTGATTGTGGGAGGGATGAAGTCTGTCCCCAGAGTCCAGGAAGATGGCATCCCTGGAGCACCTTAGACAGGCCTGACCTAGACGGAGTTCCAGAGATGACACTTACGACAGGGATCCCACCTGCCTGCTGGAGTGGTCCCTGGGGTTCCCAGCTGGCGCTGACTCTCACCCGGGAGCCAGCTGATGTGATGGCTAGCTTCACAGCTTAATGCAGACAATTCTTCAAACAGGGGCGGGCAAAGGAGATTTGGTTGCTCTAGAAAAACATTCCGCGTTCTGGCCAGCAGCCTTCGCAAAGCACTTTAAGGAAAGACCAGGGAAGTCGGTGGTATATGGCTTGCACCCAGCATTCAAAGCAAAAGGCCTGTGCCACTGGCTCAGGACATTTAAAACCTCTCCAGACTTTAAGCTGGCGAGAATCCTCCAGCCTTGACTGGCAGATTTCTACCAGCAAATTCCTGATGCTTTGGATAAGATCATGTAGGACTGGCTTCCCTGCCCAGACCACCCTACCAGATCCACACGGCCCATTTGGCCACACCTTGCCTTTGCTTGCATATACCCCAGGGATGGAGACCTCACTGCCTCCAAAGCCACCTGCCAAATCTCTGAAGGGCTCTGCCCTGACCCCGTGGAGCAGGCCCTCCTGAGATGTGGAGGCAGCCCTGTGGGTGGGAGGCATCTACACAGGCACAGCTAGGAAGAGGCTCAGACAATGCTAACAGCTGGGGTATGGGAGCTCACCCTGATGGCAGTGGGCAGGGTTGGGGGGTCTTGGCTCTGCTGTGCCCATGTGACTTAGCACATATCACATGTGATGTGCAGAAGGACCTGGGGCCCAGTGGCATAAGACCCTCAACCAACTCCGCCCCGGGCCACGGCCTCCCTCTGCTCCAGGTACTTCATCAGCTTCATCATCCAGTTCCAGTTCCATGAAGCACTGTGCCAGGCAGCTGGCCACACGGGCCCCCTGCACAAGTGTGACATCTACCAGTCCAAGGAGGCAGGGCAGCGCCTGGCGTGAGTGTCCTCCAGCCCTCCTTTGTTTCCATGCTCTGGCCTGCGCCCCTGGGCTTTTCTGGGAACACTTGCCATTTTAGCTCTTGAGCTGGGAGCTCCCACCGGCAGTGTGACGGCCTGATGTGCCATCTCCTTACGCACCTGGAGCCCTGGGGCCCTGGGACAAGTTTCAGCTGGGAGCGGGTATGGAGAGGAGAGTGAATGACTCGGCCTCCCTGTCTCGTGCCTCCCCAGGACGGCCATGAAGCTGGGCTTCAGTAGGCCGTGGCCAGAAGCCATGCAGCTGATCACGGGCCAGCCCAATATGAGCGCCTCGGCCATGCTGAGCTACTTCAAGCCGCTGCTGGACTGGCTCCGCACGGAGAATGAGCTGCATGGGGAGAAGCTGGGCTGGCCGCAGTACAACTGGACACCGAACTCCGGTACCACCACCTGCCCCACCTCCAGCCCCGGGTCTTAACCTCATTCCCAAGCCCAGTGGCCGCGACCTCGGAGCCTGGCCCTGCCCCGCGCCCTCGCCCTGCCCATGCTGTCTCCTTGCTTCCCACTCAGCTCGCTCAGAAGGGCCCCTCCCAGACAGCGGCCGCGTCAGCTTCCTGGGCCTGGACCTGGATGCGCAGCAGGCCCGCGTGGGCCAGTGGCTGCTGCTCTTCCTGGGCATCGCCCTGCTGGTAGCCACCCTGGGCCTCAGCCAGCGGCTCTTCAGCATCCGCCACCAAAGCCTCCACCGGCACCCCCAGGGGCCCCAGTTCGGCTCCGAGGTGGAGCTGAGACACTCCTGAGATGACCCGGCGGGGTCAGCCCTGCCCAAGGGCCTCCCACCAGAGACTGGGATGGGAACACTGGTGGGCGACTGAGGACACACCCCAGCCCACCCTGCTCCTCCCGCCCTGTCCCTGTCCCCCTTCCCTCCCAGTCCTCCAGACCACCAGCCACCCCAGCCCCTGCCCCCTTCTCCCAGTACATGGCTGCCTAACACTGAGCCCCACCTCTCCAAGTCTCTCTGTGAATACAATTAAAAGTCCTACCCTCCCCAGCTGAGTCTGTGTCCCTCACAGGGAAGCCAGGGACAGGGACAGGCTGCTCTCCTGCCTCCTGGCAGTCAAGTGGGTCCCGTTACTGGGTTTCTTCCTCCATCCTCCTTCAGGAGCTGGGGAGAATCCCCAGAGCTCTGCCCCACCACCTCCTGGCCCTGGTGCCTGTCTTCCCTCCAGCCCAGGCAGCCGGCCGCTGTCCTGCCACCACCGCAGGCAGCCCCTGTCTGGCCCAAGCACTGACCAAGGAGGACTCTGGGAAGCAGGCATCCTGGGCTGCTGGCTTCACATTTCTACCAGCAGTGGAGCCCTTCCCTGCCCTACAAGTGGCCAGGTCCCCCCAGGGGAAGACTTCTAGCTGTTATTGGCTGCCCCAGGGGTGAGTACCTTGGAGGGCCTGCTTCATGGAGGGTGCTCACTGGAGGGCACACACCGGCGTAGTGCTTAGCTTGGCTCCTGCCCGTACCAGCTCCATGACCCTCTGCTCGCGTGAACAGCCTTGGCTCTCGGACAACCATTCTAACACTGCCAGTGCAGAGGGGCCTCAGATGCCGGAGTGTGGCAGCTGGCTGCACCTGCACAGGGATTAGCTGCCAGCAGCCACCCTGCTGGCATCCCAGCACACACCTCCTCACTCCCCGCATTGGAGGGAGTGTCATTTTGAGGGACATTTTTATGACTTTTATGTGTATGTTTATGTAGAAATTTGGAAAATACAGAGAACTGTAAAGAAAATAAAAGCTCTTTATATCAACATCAAGAGATAAGCCCGACATTTTGGTATACGACTTGCCAGACTTCGTGTTCTCAGCACGTGTATTTTAAATGGGATCACACCATATTTACAGCCATACATCCTTTTATTACTTCATGCAACTAGATCTGTTTTACTGATATTTAAATGCCAGACTTCAAACCTGGCCAAATAGAAGTCGGTCCATTTGCTGGGGCCAGGGGCTCCCCAGCCACCCTGGCCCCTCTGTCGAATCCTCGGCCCTGAGTCTCTTCTGGGCTTTGCTGATGCCTTCACCCTAGCCAGGTCCATCTCCCAATATCTGTCCCCCAGTATCCTTAGTCCACAGCTTTTGCCCCCCAATCCAGGTGCTGTGCATGTCTGCGTGTGCCCGTGTCTGTGTGTATGTTGTGCACAGGCTTGGCTGTTCAGGCCCGTTCTGTAAAGCAGGATGTGGGGCTGAGGTATTTTAGGATTGAAAGAGGGTGGAAGTTTATGATTACGTAGGACAATGGAATTTATAAACATGTCCTCTAAATAGTTCCAAGCCATCTACCACTGAAGACTTCTTGACTTATCCCCCCTTTTCCCAGCCTATATTTTGAAAGCTCTTTGTTTACCAAAGGTCATCATCACATAACCCCCTTTCCTTTTTTTTTTTTTTTTTTTTTAAGACGGAGTCTTGCTATTTTTTTTTTTTTTTTTTTTTAGTGGTATGGTCTCAGCTCATTGTAACCTCCACTTCCTGGGTTCAAGCAATTGTCCCGCCTCAACCTCCTGAGTAGCTGGGATTACAGGCGCCCGCCACCACGCCTGGCTAATTTTTTGTATTTTTAGTAGAGATGGGGTTTAATCATGTTGGCCAGGCTGGTCTCGAATTCCTGACCTCAGGTGATCTACCCGCCTTGGCCTCCCAAAGTGCTGGAATTATAGCCACAAGCCCACGCCTGGCCCCCCTTTCCTATTTTTATGAACCACAGAGGTTCATGCTGCCTGTCAGAGCTTGTGGACAATGTGAGGTCACCAGCTTTCAGCACCCAAAGGACTGTACTGCAGCTGGGGGAAGAGAAACTCCCCACTGCATTGGCCTGACTAGGCTTACCCTCTGGGCTTTTTGAGATAGTACCTTTTTTTTTTTTGAGACAGAATCTCGCTCTGTCACCTAGGCTGGAGTGTTGGAGTGCAGTGGTACGATCTCGGCTCACTGCAACCTCCACCTCCTGAGTTCAAGCAATTCTCCTGCCTCGGCCTCCCAAGTAGCTGGGCTACTGCTACAGGAGCACGCCGCCATGCCTGGCTAATGTCTTTTGTATTTTAGTAGAGATGGGGTTTCACCATGTTGCCCAGGCTGGTCTTGAACTCCTGAGCTCAGGCAGTCCACCTGCCTCGGCCTCCCAAAGTGCTAGGATTACAGGCGTGAGCCACCACGCCGGGCCCTGGTAGTATCATTCTTTAGATGCCTGCCTCTGCCTCCTTGGGTGAGTGGGGACAGGCAGGGGATACCTGGAAGGTAGCAGAGGAAGACAAGGCAGTAACAGCAGGAAGAGGGGACAACCCAGTGTTTTCTACCAGTGGCCCTGAAGGCTGAGCTCATCTCCGTGCTGTGGCTGCCAATGCCGCCCTTGGGTGACCAGCTCTTACCTACACTGGCCACAGGTGGTGGCTGCCAGTTTCTCTCATCTCCACACCCCTGCCGACCCTCCACATTCCTCCATCTGCCCAACCCCCTTCCCACCCACCCTGTCTTTAAACATAAGTGAAAAAGTGGCTAACCCCACCTCTGCACTTACCACCTGTGTGACCTTGGGCAGTTCGTTTTTGCAGTCTGCATTTTCTTTCTTATGGTTCTTATCCACCCTCTCAGGGTTGCCATGAAGATGAAATGAGATGATGTACAAAGTCCTAGTACAGAGTGTCCTCTCTTTATAATGAATGCATCATCTCCTGGAAAAGCTAGCTTCATAACATCCCCAGATCAGCCAAGTCCAGATCAGCCCCCTTATTTGAGACAGGAAGAGGAACCGGGGCCATCGGGTGATAGAGCTGGACTGAAAACTCCCGTCTCCCAGCTGCCTTCCGGGAACTTCCCCACTACACATCCTTGCACGGTCAGTCAACTGTCTTCTTACTGGGAGCACACGGAGCTCGTCCACTGGGGCCCACAGCTTGCCTCAGTTTCCGGGAGTACTCAGCCGTCTCCCTGTGTCGCCTCTCCTCATCCTCTCCCTCATCCTCCCTCCCCATGTCGGCTCTCCCTCATCCTCTCTCCCCATGTCGCCTCTCCCTCATCCTCTCCCCTCTCCTTTGAGGACCCCCATGAAACCCTGCCTGGGGCTTTCTGTCTTGCTCTCTGTCTCGTAACTCTTGCTCATAGCGCTCACCCCACTTCCTGTCCTGTGTGCCTGACAATTCCCCACCTGTGTCCTCAAGGCCCAGTGCTTCTGATGTTTAGCCTACTGTTTAATCTGGCTGTCGAGAGTTTTGTTGTTCCAATTTAGTCCCTATATTTTTCATTTTAGCATCCCTGCTTCTTTCAAACCTCCTGTGTTTTCATAAAAGCCTATTTTTGCCTCACAGATTCTGTTCTCTGAATCACTTTAAAAACCTGTTTTTTTTTAATTGTGTCAAAATATACATAATGTAAACTTACCATCTTAACCATTTTTTTTTTTTTTTGAGACGGAGTCTCGCTGTGTCGCCCAGGCTGGAGTGCAGTGGCGCGATCTCGGCTCACTGCAAGCTCCACCTCCCGGGTTCACGCCATTCTCCCGCCTCAGCCTCCGAGTAGCTGGGACTACAGGCGCCCACCACCACGCCCGGCTAGTTTTTTGTATTTTTAGTAGAGACGGGGTTTCACCATGTTAGCCAGGATGGTCTCGATCTCCTGACCTCGTGATCCACCCGCCTCGGCCTCCCAAAGTGCTGGGATTACAGGCTTGAGCCACCGCGCCCGGCCCATCTTAACCATTTTTAAGTGTACAATTCGGTGGCACTAAGTACATTCACATTGTTGATTGCAGCCATCACCACCATCCATCTCCAGAACAGTTTCATTTGTGTGTGTGTGACAAGGTGCCCCCAAAAAAGGTGCTTACTCTGTTGTCCAGACTCACTGCAGCCTCGACCTCCTGGGTTCAAGCAATCCTCCCACCTTAACCTCCTCAGTAGCTGGGAGCACAGGCATGCACCACCACATACAGATACTTTTTTTTTAAAGTTTTTAGTAGAGGACAAGCACGGTGGCTCATGCCTGTAATCCTAGCACTTGGGAGACCAAGGTGATAGGATCACTTGAGGTCAGGAGTTCAAGACCAGCCTGGCCAACAATGGCAAAACCTCATCTCTGCTAAAAATACAAGAATTAGCTGGGCATGGTGGGGGGTCACCTGTAATCCCAGCCACTTGGGAGACTGAGGCAGGAGAATCACTTGCACCCGGGAGGTAGAGGTTGCAGTGAGCCGGGATCATCCCATTATACTCCAGACTGGGCGACAGAGCAAGGCTCTGTCTCAAAAAAGAAAAAAAAAAATTCTTTTTTTTAGTAGGGATGGGGTCTCCTTATGTTGTCCAGGCTTGTCTTGAGCTCCTGGGCTAAAGTGATCCACCTGCCTTGGCCTCCCAAAGTGCTGGGATTACAGGTATGAGCCACAGTACCCAGCCTCTGTACCCATGAAACATAAAATCATACAGTATTTGTTTTGTCTCTGGCTTGTCTCAGCATAATGTTTTCAGTGTTTATCCATGCTATAGGATGTGTTAGAATTTCCTTCCCTCTTAAGGCTGAGTAATATTCCATTACATGTATATACCACATTTTGTTTATCCGTTCATTCATCCATGAACGAATGGGTTTCCACCTTTTGGCTATGGTGAAGAATGTTACTATGAACTGTAAAAAAGGTAATTCAAAATCAAAGCTGTTAAAACTTTAAATTATTCTGAGCCTTGAAGGAAGGTAATTGTGGGACCTGAGTCACTTACAGGCAGCTGTGAACTTTGTTTCCCTAATTATGGATTACTCCTTTTCCTCTTAGCTGCATTGTTTTGTAAAATGTTATAAAAGACTGAAGGGTGCCACAGAAGTTTCCTTTCCTCTTTTCTGTTGAACTTCATTATAGATTAACTTTCCTCTTCCTTCTCCTACTCAAAGACCTCAGGACTGTCACACTGTCCAAGATGTGTTAAGTGTACTCTTTTAAATTGAAAAAAAGAAAATAAGCTATTATTAATCAAATTGCTGTAACTCATAAACCAAACTTATATGGGAAATGTTGTGATTCTACCTAATCTCTTAGTTTTCTGACTATAAAGTAAGACCTTAAACTTCTCAACTTCAGAGCACGGACGCCATTTCTTTGGAGCCAGTGAGAAGGGCCATCCTCAGCTTCACGTTCGAATAAACCTGTTAAACTGGATTCTGATCTTGTTTTATTATTTCAGGTTGACAGAACACTGTGTACAAATATTTGTTTGAGTCCCGGCTTTCAGTTCTATTGTGTATATACCCAGGAGAATTGCTAGATCATATGGTAATTCAATGTTTATTTTTTTTTAAGGAACCACCAGACTGTTTTCCACAGCGGCTCTGCCATTTCCCATTACCCCCAACAATGCGCAAGGTTTCCAATTTCTCCACATGTTGACCGACTCTTGTTTTCTGTTTTTTTGATAACAGCCACCCTAATGGGTGGCTTTGATTTGCCTTTCCCTAATAATTAGTGATATTGAGCATCTTTTCCTGTGCTAATGAGCAACTCATGTATTTTCTTTAGAGAGATGTCTACCCAAGTCCTTTGCCCATCTTTGTTTTGCTGTTGTTGTTGTTTGTTTGTTTGTTTTTAGATGGAGTCTCACTTTGTCACACAGGCTGGAATGCAGTAGTGCGATCTTGGCTCACTGCAACCTCCACCTCCTGGGTTCAAGCAATTCTCCTGTCTCAGCCTCCTGAGTAGCTGGGACTATAGGCGCCCACCACCATGCCTGTCTAATTTTTGTATTTTTTTAGTAGAGACAGGGTTTCACCATATTGGTCAG